GCGGGGCCGGCGTGGGGGACGGGCGTGGAGGACCGAGGGCGCCGCGTTCCCGCCTTCGTCCGCTCCTTCCGCCCGCTCCGGGCGCACGGCGAGGCCCACGCGCGCTGGCGAAACCTTTGTGACATCAGGTCCGGCGCAGCGGGGCGGTGCACGTCACCGCGCTCGGCCGCGCCTCTCCGCACACGGGGGCCTGAGCCGCTCGGCGCACGGCCGGAGCGCGGGAGCGGGCTGGGCTGTGCGCGTCCCTGCGTCCTGCCGCGACGCCTGCTCCCCCGGAGCGATCTGGAGGGCCCGCGCCCCGCCGCGTGGTCTCCGCGGGGCTGAGGCAGAAGGCACCGGGCGAGGGACGCTGCGGGCTCAGAATGCCACCGAGTCAGCCTCCCGGCTCTGTGCCAAAGGGAAAACAGAAAACAGCGGAGGACGGAGAGTGACATCTTCCTGAACTGTCAATATTTCTCAGAGATCATGGGGCGGGACTGTCTGACCTGTCCCATTTCCTGAGCGTGACCCAGCAGGGGATGGAGCGTCCCTGTCCCTCTGTCCCTTGCCCTGTGTGCAGGCCGGGCAGGCGTCCAGCTCTGCACACTCCCGGAGCCCTGCCAGCTGCCATGGGCTGGTGCCTCAGGATCAGAATTCTTGTGACTCCAAGGAGTACTGTAGTCAGGGCCCTGGCAAATGCAGATTGTACACACACACACACACACACACACACACACACACACGTGTGCCTGGACTTGAGCAACGTATGTCTTGTCACAGTAACACTGGAAATAGCAGAAATGTAAGAAGCTGCCCAGCGTGCCAACTGGTAGGAAACTGCTTAAACAGGGGCAGAGCTCTGCGGCGGGATGCCGTGTAACAGCGTTGCAGGAGCGCTGCTGTGTGCCCCACCCCACCATCAGCCGCAAGTCCCACTGTCACTTGTTTTGAAAAATTGATATAAATCGCGTCTACCTTACAGCCTTGGCCCTCGATTGGGAAACTCTCAAATTCAGGGAGCATCGCGATTGTGCACATGGGCTGTGAGAGGGGCCGTGGGTAGAGGCAGGAGTTCCCAGTGGACCTGTCCAGCCGCTCAGGTGCAGGGTCCCTGGTCTCAGAGACAGCACATCTGCCTCACGGGGTGGAAGGTGTATGTATACAGGATCCACTTTCTTCTTGGCCTCTGGCTTGGCCTTTCAGACCGCCCCACACACTCTCCGCTGTAACACCCCATGTGTTCAGGGGTGTAGCTGGTGGACTTTACGGACTTGTGCGTTCCTGTCTCCTGTGGGAAGGGGTATCAAATCTTCTAGCTCACTGCTCTCTTAAGAACTATTTGCTTTGCTACTTTTCCTACCCAGGCGGCATCAGTGCAGTCCCGCCCAGCCCCTCTGGCTCTGCTGTTCTCCTCTTCTCGTCCGGACGGAGACCACAGCAGCCCTGGAACCTTTCCGGAGGCGCAGAGACACCGCTGTTCCAGGGCACAGACCAGCGTGTGCAGCAGGAATGTGGAGGGTCCCTTGGAGGACTGTCCTGGGCTCCTACTGTTAGGTCAGACCCTCGAGGTAGCGTCTGGGGACACGTGTTCAGGGTGGTTCCCCTTCGTTCTGGATCATGCCACTTGATGTTAATCATTACAGGTGTGCTGCTGACCTGGAAGTGTTTACTTTGTGACGCCCGAAGAACTTGGCTGTGCCTTCTCCTGGGTCACTAGAAAGCAGGCTGGTGGGATAGCACCCCGACCTCCATGGCCCCCCTGGGTGTGGAGTGGTCAAGGGGCCCAAGGGTACTGAGCTGTCCTGCAGTGAACAAGCCACTTGCCTCCCACCCTTATTCCTGCCATTATTTCTACTATCACTTTAATAATCCTTTGTAATAACTGTCCTCAAAATAGGCCTGAGAACAATATACAGAGTCTGCCAAAAATGTATGCACACTTCGGAAAAGACATACTTGTATAAATACTTTAATACTAAATTTATTGAGACATCACACGAGTAATACAAGTTACCTTTGCCCTCTGCAGTTACAAGAGGTGCTCAAAGTGGTGGCCATTGGCTTCCAGACATTTATTAGTACAGCAAACTCCTGGTTGGGTGACCTTGCTCACTGGGATTGCTGCACGTGCATTTTCAATTTCTTCTCTAAGGGCTGGCAGTGTAATGGGTTTTCTGAGATATGCAACATCCCCTAGAGTCCCCTGTATGAGGGCAACACCATCTATTGAAAAAACATCTCTTGAAGTGTGTATACATTTTTTTGTTGGACTTTGTATTTACTTGCTTAATATAAAAGCATCACATGTTAATATATCACTTAGGAAATGTGGAAAAAGCATATTTAAAAATCATCTATAGTCCCCTCAATTAGAGGTGAGTGTTTGGGGCATGTATTTCCAGGTATTTCCCAGTGCATAAATGAGCTGCTTTTGTGTTTTAAAATTGGATCGCACTTCCCGTGTAATGGGACCGGTTCTGAAGTGATCACAAACATCTTCTGAGCCCGTTGGCACGGTTTGTGGTGACTTCACTGGAACCAGCTCACATGCTGTGAAGTTCGCCCACAGAGGTGTGCAGCCATCACCCCAGTCGCTGTGACCCAGTCCCTTCACACCCCTGACTGGCCACCACTAACCTGCTTTCTGACTCTGTGAGTTTCTTGCTGTGGACTTTGATGCGGATGGAATCATAGACTATGGGTCTTTTATAATTGGCTTTTAACAATGTTTTCAAGATTCCTCCGTATCACAGTGCATGTTCATACCCTATCTGTCCCTTTCTTATGGCCAGGTAATATTCCATTGTGTGGACAGACCACATTTTGCCTGTGCATTCACCAGGTGATGGACATTTGAGTTGGTTTTACTTTTTCACTGTTATGGATAATGATGCTATAAACGTGTGCACAAAGTCTGCGTATGTGTCCCTTCTTTTGGGTGGGATGACAGGGTGTGGAGTTTCTGGGTCCTATGGAAACCCAGTGTGTGATCATCTGAGGGGCAGGTGAGTGTTTTCCCGAAGCAGGTGCACCATTTTACCGCCCCTCCAGCAGTGTACCAGAGTCTGCACCAGCACTTGTCACTATTTGACTTGATTCTGCCCATCCTGGGAGGTGTGATCAGGCCGTCACTGTTAACAGCAGTGTAGCAGCCCCGTATGTTGTGCGTCTCAGCTAAGACTGTGGTAGGTGCCATCCCACAGGACTTGGGGAAAGAGGAGGGAGACAGAGCAGGACAGGCAGCGTCCGCAGGCTGCCTGCCATCCAGGCTGTAGGCGCTCATCACATCTTGAAAGGACCTCGGGGCCAAGGGGAAATAAAAGTACCTGTGAGCTCTGTGTTGCCTCTGTAGCTGGTTGTCATCGCTTCCCTCTTGGTGATCTGGGGATTCACTCCTTGAGAGTGACCGGCAGCAGGGGCTCGTGGTCAGACGGGAGCTGCGGGAAGTGGGTGCAGGTGGGAGCCCCGCCCAGTCCTGCATTTGCGCTGGACAAGAGGGGATGAGGCAAGGCAGGCAGGGAGACCACAGCTGCGACATGCGTGGGAGGTGGCCGGCCACTGTGGGGGCTGCTGCCACAGTGGCTGATCCCACTGGAGGCAAAGGTGGGCCGAGGTGGAGGGGAGGAAGAGAAGTCGGTGTCCCCTGGATGGCCGCGTGGGGCGCACTGGGCAGGCTTTGAGGGCACTGGGGGAGAGCTCCACTGAGGCAGGGAGAAGAGCGTGGATGGAAGCCCTGGGGGGCGGCTCCAGGAAGGAGAAGCTGTTCCGGTGGCCCTGGAGAGGAGGATCAAGTCACGTCCCAGGACTTGGTGTTGTGGGGTCAGAGGACCTCCGTGTGAGTCCCGGGGGTGCAGAAGCCTCTGAGAAGCAGGGACAGTTGGAGGATTTTGCGAGTGCGGACAGCCCCGAAAGGGGTTGGCTGGGGCGGGAGGGGAGATACGGCGGCTGGGAGAGGCTGTGTGGAGCGGGTGCTGCTTTTCAGATGGGCAAGGTGTGAGCGGCTTCAAACGCTGGCGGGAGGTTTGGGAGGAAGCAGGGGGTTGAGGAGAGAAGAGGGAGCAGGCGCTTGTGGTAGAGACCGACAGCCCTGGAGCCGAGGAGGCCGGGTGGGTTGGGCCCTGGGAGAGGAAGGGACGCTGGGTCGGGGTGAGCGGGGACTCAGGGCCCGGTTGTTCTCAGGGTGGGAGAGAGCAGGGGCAGGGAGGACAGGCGGCAGCGAGTCTCCGGGGCCAGGGCCCAGGGCTGGGCGGGCTGGCCTTCCGCACCACTCTCTGGCTCCAGAGGAAAGGCTGACGGGGAGGACATCCGGAACTGGGCTGCTTTCTGCTGGCACGAAAAGGCAGTGGCGGGGAGGGTGCAGGATCGAGGCTGGCGGCCGAGGAGGAAGGAGGGGCCGACAGCGTGGCCGGAGGTGACACCACGGACACGGGACGTGGGCTTTGAGTGGGCAAGGACCAGGCTTTCGTCCACCGTCAAAGGGTGCAATTACAAAACTTAGTCAAACAAGCTCACCTGGTGTTGGCCGCCGTTGCAGGGCTGAGTAACGCTCCGTTCAGGAAAACAGAGGGGCGCTCTGGTGGCTGAGCAGGGGAGGCTGGGCTTATAGACAGAAGTGCTGAAAACACAGAAACAAAGACAGATCATCCAAGTGACTTTCCTTGGACGGCCGGGGAGGGCCCGCCCGCCCCGGGGCGATAACTGTAGGCGATAACTGCCTGGTTCCAATGGGATGGCTTTGGGAGACTCCGGTAAGGATGAAAGGATGGAAGGCAGGGAACTCTGCAAATCCGGCCTGTTTGGGAAACTGGGCTGTGGTCTGGTGATTTCTAGGAAGGTCTGACAAGGAGTCGGTTTCACTTTGGTGACGTGGGCTCAGCAGGGCAAGTCTGCTGTGAGCTCCTGTCCGGCGGGTGGGGCCCAGGGCGGGGCCTGGCGTGGGACAGCCCTAGCTATGGCTTTGCTGTGTGCTGAGTTCAGCCCAGGCCCACCGTGTTCCTGGGTGGGCCCTGGGGGAGGGGCAGGAGGAGCACCAAGGGGCCGGGTGCTGGGCCTGGGCAGCGCGTCCCAGGAGGGCCAGGAGCGGGCAGGGGTGGGTGAGTCACGTGAGCGGAGGGCCACAGCCCTCCCAGTGCAGGTTTGGAAAAGGGAGTGGGCTGGGTGCCAGGAGCCCTGGGGATGCAGACAGCCACAGGGTGTCCTGGTCACGTGCCTTGTTGCTGGGCCGGAATACCTGAAACCTGCGGCTGAAGGAAGGAGGGTCATTTCGGTTCACAGCTCAGAAGTTTCAGTCTGTGGTCGGGGGCTCGAACACAGATGGTGCGGCGAGAAGCCCGGCACGGGGGAGCCCTCATTCAGCCTGTTAGAACTTTCAACGGCGCAAACAGCCTGCCGCAGTGCCCGTCCCACAGGCTCGCCACCGCTGGGTGAGACAGAAGGCAACACCCTGGGAAGGGCTTCTCTGCACTTAGCTGAGTGTAGCAAACACACAACTTCCCTCGGAGATGTTACACGGTAGAACCCAGTGAGGGCTTTAAGAGGAGATGAGGGCCCTGTCCTCAGGAGTGGACCGACCCACGTGTGCGTTCCTGGCTTCCCTCCAGGACGGTCTGCCGTGAAAGCCCAACTCGAGCGTGCTGCCTGGTCTGTCCTGCCGTGGTGCCTATGCAGCTCTGGCTCTGGCAGCACAAAGGCTGTCGCCAGATGCACCCCCTCGACCTTGGCCCAGAATCACGAGCCAAAGTAACCATTTCTCACTATAACTTGCGCAGTTCATGGTATTCTGTTATTAGCAACTGCACCTGGTTATGAAATATAGTTTAAAGAGCCAACGACAAAAAGCCAACCATTAAATGCAAACATGATTATCAAAAACAGCCATCCAAGATGAAGGCTGGAAAAGAGGAAAAGAGAAACGACAAGATCAATGGTCAAACAAAACAAATAGGAAGAGGGTCAACTCGGAATCATGTCTACAATTTAAGTGTGGCAGGATAAGCCCTCTACGGAAAGGTGGAGGCAGGCAGAGTGGATCAAAGTGTGACACATGCCTATAATCCCAACACTTGGGAGGCTGAGGCAGGAGGATCGCTGAGAGTTCAAAGCCATTCTGGACTACTTAGTAAATTTAGGGTCAGCCTGAGCTACATAGCAAGATCCTGTCTCAAAAAGACAAAAATGAAGGGGCTCAGAGGTGTGCCCCATGTGCAAGAGGGGCTCTTTAAATGTGTAGATGCAGGTGAGCTGCTAGGAAAAGCCAGGAAACCGTTAGTGGACAGCTGGTGGGACTCAACATGGGGCAAAACTAAGCATCAGCAGAGCTAGAGAAAACCCTGCATAGTGATAAATGGTGAGATTTATTAGAGACATCACAACCATAAACATGTAGGCACCTAGTAACGAGCTTCAAAATCTGCAAAGCAAGGTTTGGTTCCCAGGAGCAGGAGCTGAAACCCAGAGTCCTGTGGGCTCCCACTGTTGGGGGTGCTGCGTGGAATCACACACACATCAGGAGAAAAGCCCTTTCCCCTGTGGCTGACCAGCCATCCCGGGCAACTTTGGTCACATGGTGGTGTAGCAGGAAGTGAGATTTGCGAGTCAGAGCTTCTAGGTTCCGGTTCTAACTAATCCCACTAACCCTGTGACTTGGAGTAAGTCATAAAGTGCTTTGTGCTTGAGTTTCCTTCAATATCCGTAGACAATTTAAAAAATCATCTATTTCCAGGTCCAAGAGTGATCCTCATTTTATTCTTGGCTTTGATAACTTAAACATTTTTGCAGAAACTCTTGGGGGGAAAAGGTGTAATATATAAATTTTTCTTGAATATAAGATTTGAAGAACTGATACCTGAATAAAACCGTTATCACTGAAAGCAGGTGGAGAAAACTTAAATGATGGAATTAGAAGTGTTTTTCTAGTCTTATGCGTGTCCTCACAGCGGGGCTCAGTATGTGCAGCAGCTGGATTCCCTCCGGCCTCACGCTCTGCGCAGCCTCCCCGGGGTTGTCAGGGCCCTGTGCACGGACCCACGTCCGGCTCCCCGGGGTGCTCTGGCCTTGTTCCGGGCAGGAACACTCCTCGGCCCTGGGGAACCCGGGCCCTGCTTGTCCTCTGCCTTTCTGCCAGGTAAAAATTCAGGATTAAAGACTCTTTCACCTGTGTCTGCCGGGTTCCCTTTCCTGCCCTTCCTCTGGTCTCTACCTGCGGATCAGCCAGCAATTCGATCTACAGTCCCTTCCTGAGCAAAGGGAGACTCCCCTGTTGCCAGCTGAAAGGAAGGTCGCTCTTGGGCTGGCCAAGCGCCTTCATCTTAGAGACCTGGGCTCCTGCGCTACCTCCCAAGGCCTACATGGTCAGCCTTTGGGCAGGTGTGGGGGATGCCTGTGGGGAGAGGCGGGATGTGGGTGTTGCCCAACTCTCTCCATACGACTTAAGGCGGAAAATCTGTGTATTGACCTTAAGCGCTACTGGACCGGTAAGGTGCCCGCCCACCGCCAGGACCTCCCGCCTCGGGCTCCCACAACCTTCCTTGCCAATGGTGCCTGCGGGTCAGTGAATCTCTTGTTTTGTTTGACTTTTGCAATTCTGGAAATTGAACCCAGACCTTCACACTGAGCTACACCCCCAGCTTCCTTTTTATTTTCCATTTTGAGACAGGGTCTCCCTATGTTGCTGGGCTACCCAGGCTGTGCTTGAACTTTTGAACTTCCTGCCTCAGCCTCCCAGAGTGCTAGGGTTATAGGTGTGCACCACCATGCCTGATGTGCTTTCTTTAATCATCTGTATTAATTTGAATGTGATATGAGCGCAACTCCCAGTTGGAAAAATTCATCCAAAATATATGCCAGGCTGTCTGCTCTCAGCCTTACATCCTTTCTCCTGGGTCTGTTTTCTTCATACACTGATGAGCCAGTCGGGGAGAGGATTATACCATCTCTATCTGTCATACAATGTCCCGTGAACTAGGAAGTCAGGAAACCTGTGAGTCACGGAGCAAAGGAATAACATCCCATGCTTGGCATGGACTACAGTTAGACAGTAGGTTAAAACTGTGGACCCCTCTTTCTGGCTGGATTCCAGGATGGGTGGGGGATGCCGGTTCCAGTCTGGTTTCAGTCCTCTTCTGCAGAGCCTGCTGAAGGGTTTCCGTGCAGGGAGAACTTACTGATCATAAGGTCTTCCGCGTTACCATAGGTTGGTGCCCGCTCTGCTGTGTACTGTAATAGATTCCTAGGCACAGTTAATGCTTGGTTTGTGTCTATGCATTTAAAGCCCTGTTTCTAGAAGTGAGTCTTCTGAGAATTTACCGTCATCCACGGCTCAGCTTACCTGGCCCGCTCTGGGCCTCTTGGAGAGAGACGGCTGTGCCCTGCCACCATCTCCCCCTCACTGTCTTTGGTTGGCACACTCATGTAGGAACTGGCCTTGGTGACATGGGTGCCCCTCAGCTGACTACAAGGCAGGTGACAGCAGGGTTTATGTCGGAGTCATCTTTGGGGTCCCCATGACACCTAGCATAAAGAGATGCTCAGAACTCCATGGAATGTGGGGAACCAAGCCCCACGGCCCTAGAGCTGAGGGTCCACGTCAGTGTGCGGTGGGGCCAACTGGAGGGAGAGTGACAGGAGGGGCAGCTTTGCCCTCAGACCTGCCGGTGGGACTGGGGCCTGGGAGCGGCCGTGGAGGGACTCTTTGATTGGGGTGGAGTGCGGCCAGTGGGCGGGGAAGGGGGCACTGCGCTCTGACGTCTGATGCCGGTGCCCGGGCTTGCAACACAGGTGCTGTTGACATTTTAGTGACGAGAACCCACTTCTCAACCTTGACTGAGAACAACAAAGTATGGGTCTGCACCCCCAAGCTTGTGAGACCCCAGCACATCTGTTGGGGCGGGAGCAGCTCTCCTTCCCGCTTTTGATTCTAGACTGTCTTTTTCAAATTCAAAAGTCCGTTTTCATTAGAAAACAAGGAAATTAGAGGAGAGGAGGAGGGGAAACCAGCATGGAAAATTTCACCGTTGACCTTTTCTATTTGCCAGGGAAAGAAAACAGGTTTCTCAAACTCTCTGGCACTTTTAGATTGTGTGTGTGTGTGTGTGTGTGTGTGTGTGTGTGTGTGTGTTTCATCTTCCTGCCAATGTAAGTTTCTTCCGGCCGAGTGCATGAATTTGTATTAAGAAATAGCCGGAGAACATTTGTAAAAACAAACCTAGGAAATCTTTCTTTTCCCCAGTGAAATCCTGCATGATGCCAACTGTGGAAATGGCCCATGCTCTGGTATCGTTATCCTCTTACATTCCCAAAGAGTGTAATCCAGACCACCTTTCGTGGATTCGAGACATGCAGCCTTCAGTCCTTTCCCGGCCGATGAACCTGTCCCAGCACCCCTGCTGGGCTGGCCACCCCAGAAAAGCCCCTCATCCCACACCACATCCAGCAAGGCAAGACCACCCCTGTCTCCGTTCTCAGAGAGGCTTCAGGAGCAAAGGCCCTGTGGGGAAGGCGATGGGCACCGGTGGGAAGGGGACTGTGTCGCAAGAGAGAAGGCAGGACAGCACGAGAGGGGCCTCTGGGCGTTCTTCCCGCAGCCTGAGGCCCGCTGCCCTTTGCCCCGGTCAGTGTCACCTTGCAAGGTCCCCCTTCCTTGTCCTCACGTGGAGCAGCCCAGCCCCTGGGTGGCCCAGTCTCCGTCCCAGAGGAGCCTGAGCTCAGCGTGGAGTAGCCGGGAACCGGGGAAGGTCGTCCCGGTTCCACCTCAGCTCCCGACAAACGCGAGCTTTCTTTCAACATGCATCCTCCTCATGCGGCCTCACTCCGCATGGTTCAGGCAGCTGAGCTCTGAGGAGAGGAAGTGGGCAGTGGATCTGCATCTCGTGGCAGCCTCCCGGACAGAGCCATCCCTTTGCGTAGCGTGTCCGCACCATGCCCCTATCCTCCCATTCGACGTGGCCACTGGAGCCACCTAGGGTATGAGATCCACCCTGCAGTATCTGGTGTACACTCAGGGGGCCCTTGTGTGCTCAGCAATGGCCTCACAGGCTGGGAGGTGCAAAGCAGGAGATTTAAGGTACCAGGGAGAAGCTGCCAAGGGCCTCCTCGAAGTGAACAAATAGAATTTCTCAATCCCAAGTTTCTGTTATTTTTATAGATTACTTTTCCATGGATATTATATAGGAGTTTTTTTTTTTTTTTTTTTTTTTGAGAGAAGCTCTCACTACGTAGCCCAGGTTGGCCTTGAACTCACGGTCATCCTCCTGCCTCAGCATCCTGAGTGCTGGCGCTACAGGTGTGCGCCACTGCACCTGGCAGTACTTTAAACATATCTCTGTTTCTAACTGATTTATAGAGATGAATTTATCAAACAAAACATGGGGCCTACCCCCCACCATAGTACTCAGCCATAACCAATGGACTCTTGTCTCTGACAGCAAGTTGTACAGAGCTGGAGGACACTGTGTCAAGACAGACCCAGGAGGACACAACCTGAGTGTTGTCTGGCGCTTGCTAGGAGGTGGGAAGGGTCCGGAAGGCGAGAAAGGGAGGCTAGGTTTGACCCGTGCACGCTGAAATCATGCATGGAAATAGCAGGCCAAGCCCCAAGAGTATGTACAATTAATATGTTTCCATTAAAAAAGATGGTACTGATAAATCAGCAGTTACAAGAGGGTGGGTGAAAAGAAAAGAAAAGAGAAAAGTTTACACTTGTTTCCTGCTGCTTTTGAACCCAGAGCTTGAGAGAAGCATGCATGGCTTGGGAGTGCAGGGGCGGCGGGGCCTGGCGGTCAGGACCAGGCAAGAGCAAATGTCAAAACTCCTCCATTTAAATCAAGTGCAGTTCCACTAACTTTTTGTTGTTGCTTTTGTGGAGCTCGTGATGGACCCCAGGGCCTTGCGTGTGCTGGGCAAGCAGGCTACAGCTGAGTTACATCCCATGCCCAATTTTTGGAAAGTAGAATAGATTATTAAAGCCTTCCTTCTTCTCTTTGAAAAAAAGAGAAGGTATTTACAGGCTTGAAAGAGGCTTTAGGAAAAAGAAGAAAGCACTTTTTACACTGAAGGGTTTGCAGTTTTGATTTGTTACATAAAGTGAAAAAAATACATTCAAGAAGAGTTTAAATAAATTCACGTGTTACAGAAAACTGTCAGTATCTGGGGTATAACCTTAGTCTTCCCTCTGTGAAATATCCTGGGATCCTACAAATGACACAAACTTTTGCAGATGATGGTTTTGACCAGTGTGATGTTTATTGTCTTTCGTCCTTTTGAGTTTTCAGAATGAATACATTTGTCTTTGTTTGAGGGATGCAGGTAGTTATATTCTTTATTGGAAAGATAAGTATCATAAAATTGCTTCTAGGATAATTTATCTCGCTGCTCTTTGCATTAGTGAGGATGGTTTTGCTCCTGTTACGAAATCTCCTCAAACCTCCCATTGTATGGGAGTCAGCAATCGGGAAACCAAGAGTCAGGCAGATGGCGAAGGCGGTGGAGAGTAGTGGGCGTTTGTTATCCAGTGTTTCCTGGCACTGCTGGCTCACACACCTGTGTGCAGGTGACGCCCACAGCGGCTGGGAAGCGCCGGATGTCACCTCATGCAGGACATCTATCACCCTGACTCCTCGAGTGGATGTTGGAGTGCTAAGATGGGCTTTGCCTCTTCTGCAAGGTCTCCTTAAGCGAAGAGTGAGCAGAAATAGCGGCTTTTATTTGAGATTCTACCCAGTGGAGTTCAGAATCAGGCTGGGCCTGAACTCATGATCCTCCTGCCTCAGCCACCCCGAGTGTGGGGACTGCAGGTGTTCACTGGCACGCCCACCTAAGCATCCCTGTCCTTAGCGGGACCGAAGTATCTAGATGGATGTTTTCACGCCAGGCAGGGATGAGTTTCCACCGGAGGCTCTCCCTTGTTGGCAGCAGAGCATGGCTCTGACAGATTGAATCAAAAAAGGAACTTGTTAGGGAGCTACTGTGTCTCCGTGGATGGAGGCGTTGGGGCGGAGGCCAGACTCGCCAGCCACCTGGGCAGGAAGAAGGCGGAGGCCAGGGACCGTCAGGACTGGCCCAGGAGAACTCCGCTGCCCTGGAGGCTGCACCTGCACGCACAGACAGGACCACGCACACGGCCAGGCCCCCTGGCCCTCCACTGCCGCTTCCAGGAGGGGTGGTACAGCGTACACAGGAAGGACGGAGTTGCCGGCTCTCCAGGGCCCCCTGCTGCTGGACTCAGGTGCGCTCCGTGGGGCACTTCTCAAGGGACTGGTGGGAAAGACTGCAGATCCCGCGTGGGAGGAGCGGAATGACAAACGTCCATCAGAGCGGGAGCAGCTGAGACAAGCTGAGGCCAGGAGCTGGGGCGGCACAGGAAGGAGGCTGTCAGTGGGCCGCAGCTGGGAGGGAGGTCCGGGGTTTGTGCCCAGGGAATACAGTTTGGCCAAAGCAGGGGGCAGCCAGGCGTCGTGACCATATCTCATTGCGCAGTGTCACTTGCCAAGTATGGGAATTCTGTGTAAGAGGAACAGTGACTGGACGAGAAAGATGAACACCTATCCGTGCCGGGTGTATTAGTTCTCTCGAGCTGCTGTTAAAAAAAAATCACCATGGACCAGGGGGCTTGAAATGACAGAAACGGATCCCCTTTCAGTCCTGGGGGCCGTAAGTCTAAAATGAGGATGTTGTGGGCTGTGCCCCGGGGGGCCGTGGGGTGAACTTGGTCAGGCCTTCTCCCGGATGCTGCTGCTGCTGGCCACCCTGGGGGACACTGTTCCAGTATCTGCCTCCTGTCCACACTGCCTGTCCCTTGGGCTGCGTCTTCACAGGGCATCTGCTCTCTGGAAAGCGAGTTACCTGCCCCCCAAGCTCAGGCAGGGCCAGTGTGGGTAGCCATTTCCAGTCCAAAGGGAGAAACAGGAAGAAGGCTCACAGTCCCGAGAAACTCGCAGGCACGAGGGTAACTCTGTGGCCAGATGCTCCGTCCCTGCCCTCTGGGCTGGCAGCCGCAGCGCAGCCTCATCTGCCTGTGAGCTGTCCCCGCCGTCCTCTGAGTCACGCGTCCCTTGACTTGAAGGAGGATGTGTGTCTGTAGCCACGTAGCTTCCTGTCTGCGCGGATTCCACAGTGTTTAGAACATTGACCCGTAGCAGAATGGTCAGCTCCTGCCGGCCTGAGGACGGCAGCTCCAGGCTCACGTCTGTGCACACTGATTGCCGCTCGCACCAGCCCCGCCACGGTGCCATCCCTCCCTGGAGCTCGGTGTGCGCCTCCCCAGGCCGGACCTGAGAAGAGGGACAGCCAGCGTGTCTGGGTGCAGGAACGCCCAGATGTCAGCCTCCTCCTGCAGGGGCTCCCCGCGTTGGACTTGGCTTGCTTTCCTTGTCTTTTCCGCCAGCAAGGGAGTCTCTGAGCAGAGAATCTCCCTCCTTGTCCTTTCTGCTGTCTGCTGCCCGGGTCGGCACCAAAGCCAAATGTGTGCTGATCTGAATACGATGCTCCCAGCCCCCGGGAAGTCTGCAGTCAGGCTGGGACCTGCTGCAGACTCTAGTAAGCAGAGGCCTGCAGCCGGGTGCATGCTGAGGGCACAGCTGAGCTTTCTGCAGAGATGTGATGTGATTACAAGTGGGACGGTGGCCCAGGCCTGCTCAGATGAGCAAAGGGCAGGCTCTGAACCCAGAGGAGGGAGAGATGTTAACTCTGGCGCTTATCATCCAGTCTGGGGAAAGGAGCCCAGGAAAATGCGGGTACATCACACAGACCCCCGAGCTTCACAGCCAGGCTTTCTGAGTGCAGTGGGTCCCCAGGAAAAGACGACAGACTTTCGGTTTGGGTCCCGGTGCAGAGGACACAGGTCTTACTGTTTTTCCAGGCAGATGTGTCCTTTGAGGCTCGGGATGGGGTGAGATGTCAAAGGCAGTGTGGGCTATTGCTCAGGGCAAGGCTAAGCTGGGTCTCCCCTGCACAGCTGTCCAGGATGGGCACTGGTCCTGCCGGGCGGAGCCCTCTGCGTGACGGTGCTGGGCCTCCATCCGCTTTGCAGCTCCTGAAGGCGGAGGTGGAAGAGCGGCGGGGCTTTGGCTGCAAAGGAGGCACCAAGGGTGCGTCGGGCTGACAGCCTGGGCCCCGGGCAGCGTGTCCTGGGGGCTGCCTGCCACCCACGTAGTGTGCGCCTGGTAAGTACTCCCTGTCGCTAAGTGATGATACACCAGAGGCTGACCCTGCACATGTGCCACAAGCCAGTTCCCACGGGTGGACACACGTGTGATGCGGTGGCCCTGGTGGCTCCTTTCTGGCTCACAGGCACCGGGCGTCTGGCTGACTTCTGAAAAGTGAGGCCTGCACAGGATGTGTGTTGGGGGGGACATCAGGGACCCAGAGCTGGCTAGGGACACGGGCCAGTGGGGGACTGCATTTATGCAAATGTACGGGAGTGACGTTCCCCTGAGAGCAGCACCAGGGAGTGTGTGAGGGAGACGTCCTGGCGGGCCGCTGTCCCTTAAATGGGGCCACGGCTGCACAGGGGCCTCAACCAGGCCCGGCCAGCAGGGAAGATGTGGGTCCTTGGTCCAGGTCTGGAGTCTACGCCAGCTCCGAGCTGATCACCCTTTGTGAGCTTGGCAGCGTGAAAGCAGGTGTCACCCAGGGCAGCACTCTAGGTCTCAGGAGACCCTGTGCACGTCACTCTAGTAAGAGCTGCCAGGGGCTCCTCAGGCAGCAGCAGGACCCGCTCCCCCACCCCCTCTCACCCCACTGTCCCTCTGCCTGCGACGCAGAAGCAGTTCCGAACTGCGCAGTGGAGAACCCAGTGGGGACCTGGACAGTCGGCCCTCAGGACGTTTTCCTTGTGAGAATTCTGCATCTGCGCTACACACACTGCACGCACCTCTACCCTTCCCTCTCTGTACCGTGTGTACGCGTGTCTGTGCGCACACACACGAGCGCACATCACTCACACATGCACACATGCAGCATGGTTTAGAAGGACGTCGGCCTGGGTTCAGTCTGTATTCCCTGGGGCACCGAAACACTCCTGTAAAACAGCTACATATAAAACAACCGTTTTAGTTCCTTTAAATCCCTTTGCGTTATCTCTCAGAAATAATTACGGTCTAAAGAAAGTTTAGGTTGAAGTGTTTATGAGTAAAGTGGACATTTTTTAGCTTGGGTTATCCACCAAATTTTACGCTCAACTGGATCAGCACCCGGGCAGGGCCAGTCTAAGCTAACCCGTGACCCGGAAGAACCTAAGATCCACTAACTCCAAAACAGTTGCTCCCGCTGGACCTGCAGAGGCCTGGTTTCACACTGTGGGGGCGCCTTGGGCTGCGGGAGTCCTGACAGAGAGCAGAACCACGCGAAATCCCACCAGAGACGTGCAAGGCGCCCGTCACACACGGCTGCCAGTGAGCCTCAGGGACGGCAGAGACGCAGAGGAGCTGTGCCGGGAGTCCCTGGGCAGCGACAGAGCTGGGGCGGCACGGGGGTGATGGGGGCTCCGCCCTGAGGGAGGTCCTGCTTGTGGGGCAGGTGCAGCAAGGCTAGGTGGGCAGCCTTGGACAAAGAGGACGTCCTCAGTGTGGCTTCAGCAAGAGAGCACAAGGGCCACAGGGGACAGGCTCCCGGCGCTGGCCCATGTGGGAGTGGTCAGTCCCACAGCTGCCAGCGAAGGTCCAGGTCGGCCCAGCGGAGCCCACAGAGAGGAGTCCCCGCAGCTGTGGGGGAATCGTGGCTGCGAACTTCCAGGAGGGTCTTCCGGGAGGCCGTCCCTGCTCAGCTGTTGGACTGGACTGTCCTGCTGCCGGTGACAGTCCCATAACTCAGCCAGCTCTCACCCGAGCCCGTGGCCAGATGATCCCGCGGCTCCGCCTCTTGGCAGCTGTCCCTGGGTCACCTTCCTTGGCGCGGTCTTACCTCGCAGTCGGAGACTTTTATGCAGTGTAGCGCATTTTCCTCTCGCAGATTTGCTCTTTGCTGACCTCCGCGGGCTTGCCTCCTCCTCCTCTAGCGTCTTTGCCCAGGGGTTCCGGGTCAGCCGGACTTAGCTTTCTGTCCCTCTGCCAGGTTCAGGGCTGAGCTCTCCACCGCCCCTGCCAAGGAAAACACGCAGACTCCATATTATACTTTGCAGATTACTCCTCGATTAATCCCAGCACTCTGTCCCTTTGCCCAAGGACCTTTCCTGGTCCCCTGACCTTGCCAGCTAGCTCAGATGTCTTCAGGTGCCCGCCGTGCTCTTGTATTTTTCTGGGTCTACAGTGGGGAGGGGCTGAAGTGGCTCCACCTGCCCTGCAGGGGCCACAGGTCCTGGCTAATGATGGTGGTTTGAGGCAAGTGTTTTAAAAACGCCTTAGATTTTCTTTTCACACAGAGAGTTCCAACCTTGAGGAAGCTGGGGACTTTTCCATCATTTGGTTTAATGAAGAGCAATTAATTTTTCAATGGTCCGGGGCTTTGTGTCTTTGTTTTTTCACTTTGATTCCTCTATGTGTGATAGCACAAAGGCACTGTCTGAGAACAGGTGCCGCGGGACAAACCGACTCGGGGTCAGGGTTGGCTTGAAACAGCGCGTAAGAGTGAAACGGAGCTCCCTCGGTGTCAGGAGCCGGAATGACACATTCTGGCCTCTGGACATATTCTTTGGTTTTCGGTGTTGGGGCGGTGCCAGGGCCTGCTGCCACGGCGCAAGCGCTCTACCGCTGAGCCTTGCCTCCAGCCCCTGGACACGACTCAGTCTCTCAGAAACCCCTGACCTCCCGGCTGGCCGAGGCAGGCGGTGAGAATGCGGGGTTCTTCGTACCTCGTCCCGGAGTACGCTTGTCTGCTTCTCAGATTCCCGAGCCCTTGGCTCTGCCACCCTGCGTTTCTCCATTTCTAGTAGGAGGAGGGTTGCACAGCACCAGGAGACACAAAGGAGCGTTACCGTCCCGTCTCCCCGCAGAGCCAGAAGCCTCGTGACCTCAGAAGCTGGAAACCGAGTTCCCACTGCAGCGCCGAGCGCGGCGGCCTCCCCGGGACCCAGCAAGGCACCGTCCATGAGCAGCCCGGCCCCTGTCCGACGCTTTTGGCCTCCAAAGCTTTGCATGTGCTGCTCTTTGCCTCAAGCCCCGCAGGGAGAACTTGGTCCTGCCGGGCCACCTGCCGGCTTTTCCTGTGCAGAACCAGTCTCTCCATGCAGGCCACCCAAACCAAACCCCCTGCTCTGGGCCTTGCCGGCAGAAGTGCATTCTGCAGGCTGTGGGTGCAGCTCCCTTCCTGGCTCGAAGGCAGCCGCCTGCGTGCTTGTCCTCACCTGCGGCCGAGGCTGGAAGGACCTCTCTTGCCTCCTGCTATAAGGACGCTGATCCCAAAGGGAGAGCCCTGTGCTGGGCTTATCTGACTGTGGTCACCTGCCAGAGGCCACCTCCAGGTTCCCTCAGCTTGGGGGATTAACGCATGAGTTTTGACAGGATGAGCAACTTCGGACCATAGTACACAGTAGCACAGGCAGGAGCGGTGGGTCAAATGCGGCCCCTGAGCCATGCGTGGCACCGGGGTACTCCAGATGCGGCTGGGGAGAGGCTGTGGACTGCAAAGTGCACAGAGTTTCCAAGGCTTACTACGAAAATATATCCTAAAAGTAATTAAAAATTTTGATTACATACAGTTATAATAACATTTTATATACTTGGATAAATAAGAAAATACTTACATAAATTTCAGCCCTTTTTTTTGACCTATGGTTTTGAGACAAAATCTTGCTAACTTTTTCAGGCTGGCTTTGAACTCTCAATCCTCCTGCCTCAGCCTCCCAAGTAGCTGGGATTACAGGCATGAGCCACCATACCTGGCTTCTTTGGACTTTTAGAAAAATATGTCAATGAGATAATTTCAGCTCACTCATATAGTTGTTGATGTATCCATTTTATGTTTCAGGTTTACAACAGGATTTAAAATTTTCATATGATATTTTGGTGTATGCACCTACGTAGCCCAGGGCTTGTGACAGTTGAGCAAGGGAACATATGCATCCCTTTGCGTGTGTGTTTGCGTGTGTTTTAAGGCTCCTGAAAACGTACACCCCCGGCACATTTCCAGTGTAACACATGACCCTCCTGTGCTACTGAGTGACGTGCTGGGTAAAGATGAACCGCGTACACGTCGGCGGTCCTATAAAATCATCTCCCCAGTGCAGCAGAGCTGTCCCGGCTCGGGTAGGTCCTCTCCGTCACGTTTGCCCAGTGGTGAATCAGCTAGCGACTCGTTTCTGAGGTGTGTCCCTGTTGGTGGCATGGCCGTGCTGTCGCTGTCCGCCCTTTGGGGGCAGTTGTCCCCGCGCCACGGCTGCAGCTGTCTTCCCTCTGAGAAGTTCTCCGAGGCTGAGAGCTGCGCTGCACTTCTAGGATGGTGCCGGGTTGGCCGCGGAGCCCAGTGGGGAGGAGAAGGGCCCAGCCCTGAGAGGAGCTGGCATCCACTGGTGGCCGGCTCGGTGGGAGCCGTCGGGGACAGAGCACGGGGGCAGGGCTGGCGGGAGTCCCAGGCAAGACCTGCTGCTGAGGGCCTGGAGCTGAGGGCTGGGAGGGTCAGGACAACACAGGCCCCTTTAAAGTTAGGATCACCTTCTAGATTCCCTGAGTGTGGAAGCAGCTGCTCAGAGCTGGCCCCCAGGGACCCCGTCTTTCATCAGTGTGCACACGGGCGCCCCCAATGTGGGATCTGTGGGTCACTCAGCCTAGACATTGAGGACAGCTCAAGGGACTCATGACACCAAAGATGTCCCCAGGGCGGGCAAACATGGGGTCAATTAGAACTTGCAGCTGCAGGGTGAGCTCTGTTAAGGAGGCCTTGGAACGCACGGAGAGGAAGTCAGACTGGCAGCGACCTTCCTGGGTCTCCCAGGAGGGCAGCCTGGCACATCCCACTCTCATCCAGATACTTCTGAGCTGTGTCTGGTCGGGGGGCAGAAAATAGGGCCAACCACGTTTGCCGTCCTTTGGTGAGATAAACCTAGCAGATTCAAACTCACTGACCTGAGAACGAACCCCCCGCCGGGCAGAGACTGTTAACCCTGTGTTCTGGAGGAGGACATTGAGGCTTCGCGGGGCTCAGTCACTGCCCCCCGCCCTGCCAGGGTGGGTGGGAGACAAGAGGCCTCTGCCCTCTGTCTGACCACACCCGCCCTGTTTCAGGGAGTGGTTACACCGTGGCCAAAATATTGCAAAATTGTTGTGATTGGCTGGTGAGCAGCTGTTATAGGAGCGGAGTGTTCCTGAGCCCAGGCCTCTGGGAAGCTTGGAGAAAGTGGGACTTTTGGGAGGGGGGTCTTCCTCCCTGACTGGGTGGAGTGGCGAAAGGACAGGGACATGACAAGGTGTGGGGGCGGAGGCGGGCTGGGCTCCGGGTCACGGATGAGACCCAGTCAGGCTCCAGGTCTACTCCTTTGGTGGAGACCGGACAGACGGCAGCTGAGAAGCCCAGGAGAGGCGGGAGGGCAGCGGGCGGGCACTTTGTAAGCAGGAGAACAGTGAGAGCTTCCGGACTGGCAGTGTGCAGACAGCCGCAGCAGATGCCCGGGTCAGGAACGCAGAACTTGGACGCTAGGTCCTAACCCAGCGCCTCACACCTGGGACGAGGAGCTGATCCAGAGGCGGAAGGCAGATGGCAGTGCGTGGTGGGCGGGCGCCAGCTCCCTCCCTCCCTGGCTCACACGGCGCCCCTGACCTCAAAGGGTGGTTCCAGTTACATTCCTGAAAACGAGGTGACGCTTAAACTCCGCTCCTCAGCGCTGCTGGCTGCACTTCAAGTGCTGAGCAGCAGTGTGGGACCAGCAGCTGTCACCCTGGCCCAGAACATTCCCTGGGTCACGCAGAGTCCCTGTTGCAGCTGCTTCTCCCTGGGGGCCCTCAGAGGAGCTTTACTTTCCCGGGTACAGGCTGTGCCCTGGGCCAGGACCCCTGCCCCCTCTTCTCCATCTGGGCCCCGCCGTGGTTCCCGAGAAGCCTGTGCCACCCGGGCCATTTCCTGCTCAGCTTCAGCTCCTGCCCTGTGCTCACAGCTGCAGCCGGTGCTGTTGGCACGGTCTCCTCTGCTCCTGCCCCCGGCTGCTGTCCAAACAGCTGAGGCCTGAGCTGCAGGCGGAATCCGAGCTGGGCTGACAAGGTGGCACCACTGTGGCCCGGAAGGTCCTGCCTCTTGGCCCGGGGCCAGCTTCAGAAGCCGGGGAAGCTACGAAGGAGCCCTGCAAGTGGGCCATCCGCGGTGGCCTTGTCAGGAATTTTCAGAGTTGCCCGGTGGCATGTCCGCCATCCTGGGAGCCGCCTGTAATGCTGGCACCCTCGTTCCTGGGGCAGTCATTTTGGTCGAGGCGAAATCTCAAGCGTCGCCAGTATTGTTTTGGGGAGACACAGCACCCCTGCTCGTGTAGCTGTGTCAAGTGGTTTATTCTCTTTATTCTCTTTCCTCAGCAGGTGGCATTTTTGCTCAGTGATTTTACTCATAGCTGCCTGTGTTCATCAGCTGTGACATATTAATCATGCAAATTAGGATATTATTAATGAAGGAAAAATTAATCCTGCCACCGCGTCTGGTCCGCAGTGACAGCTTTGTTAATGCCCTCTCACCGCGTAATATGGTCGGCAGCTTCTCCGGCCCCTGCAAGCAGGCACATTAGCATCCAGGGGAAAGGTCAGAGACTGCAGCCTAGCCGTGAGAGGGCCGGTGCTACAAGTTCACGCTTACTGGAATGCGTGTTCTCGGGACAGAATTGTGCAATCCTGACCTCCTTCCTGCTGAGTAAACTGTTGGTAGTGCAAGAGGATTGGCACCACCCAGAGACTCTCCCAGGGAAGCCCACTGAATACAGCGCCGGTCCCCGGTCCCTGGCAGAGGCCAGCACGCCTGGGTCCCCCCGCCCTGGTTCCAGCCACTGGCTTCCCAGGTTTGGTGTGAGCCAGCCTTCCTTGGACAGTGTGCCTTCTGCGCTGCCTCTCCTCGGGGGCCGGGAGCTGGGCAGCCTCAGGGTTTGTCTCTGGGGCACTGGAGACAGGCAGGAAATAGGACGTGGTCCGTGCCCACTTCCCCACTGTCCTCTCTGGACCCTGGCTCTTCCTGCACCCCCTTGCAGCAGTGACTTGCTTCCGGTCTGAGCCAACTCCAGAGATGCACTGCCTCGGGGACTTGGACAAACCACCCTGTGAGGAGGCAGGGCCCCCCGGAGCTTGCGGGGTCGCCCCCCCTTGGCCATGGAACGTGGCTGAACCGAGGGGGGAACGCTGGAGCCACACGGGACCCAGAGGGCCGCAGGGACAGTGCACCTCAGCTGCTGCAGGTGCGGGCTGAGGAGAAGTGCGCGGGGTTCGCAGGTCCTGACGGGCCCTGGGGCCACAGGGAGGGGGAGTTTCTCCGCCACCCACTGCCTGGAGACCTGGCCCTTCTCCTCCCGTCCTCCTTACTTCCCTCGCCGGCCGTCCTCCCGTCCCTCAGGTCCCCGGCCCGGGCGGAGACTCGTGATTCCCCCTTCCTGGGTGTGTCCCCACCCCTCCCCTCGAAGCCCCTTCCCTGGGCCGCTCCCCTCTGAGGCCAAGAGCAAGTGGGGGCGAGACCTGCCCAGCCCCGAGGGAGGGGACAGCGGAACGCCACACTGGGCAGCTTCAGCCACACTGATGCTGTCTCACCTCCACCCTGCAGCGGCCGGCAGACCTGGTCCCTCCTGGGCTGTGGGAGGCCCTGTCCCCGCCCTCTCCCGGCTCCTGGGGCTTTGCGGCCGTCCCTGGCTGCCCCTGGCTGGTCGAGGACATTTTCCCAGTGTCGCGGATACCATGTTCTCCCTGCACACACCTCTGTCTCCACAGGGTGTTCTTTTAACGGGGTGCTGGTCTTAGGGGATTAGGGACGCGCCTTCCTCCAGCGTGACTCCTCCGAGCTGCCCACGTCCCCCCACAGCTCCAGCTCCAGTCGGGGGCACCTTTCAGGGGCTGGCAATCAGCACTGCGGCAGCCTTACCTGCGGGGCACGAGTCAGCCCAGGGTAAGAGCAAAGGCCGGAGGAGAGAAAGAGCCTTCGCAGGGCGCCGCGGGCTTTGCGGTGCTACTGAGGGCCGTTCCAGCCCGGGACGGACAAGCGCGAGGCATGACAGCAGCTCAGACAGCGCCTCCCGCTGCAGCAACTGTGCAGGGCTGAGGGCGCTGGTCAGCTACACCGCGGCACCTCTGGTGGGCAGGGTGGGGCCAGAGGTCAGGGGTCTGCAGCCGCCCTCCTGTGGGGGGTGGGAGAAACCCAGAGACCCTGCCAGACCCCTGAGCTGCTGATTGGTTGATTGTTTTGGGGGACAGGGCCTTCCTATGTAGCCCAGTCTGGCCTTGAATCTCACAGTCTTCCTGCCTCAGCCTCCCGAGTGCTGGGATTACAGATGAATAGCACCATGCCCACTGCTGCTGTATTTGGAGAGATCACACCCCAGCGACTTTACCTGTCTGTACCTGGGGAAATTCGTGCTAGCGAGCACTCCTCCTCCGTGCAGCTAGTGCTGAGGCTTCTGAGGGAGTGCGTTTGCTTGGGGCTGTTCCCGGGGCTGTGGGTCTGCAGCTCCCCGCCCACGTGTGGACAGACTTGAGCGAAGGCTCCCTGCCACGGGATGAGGGGGGGTCGTGGGCGTTCGTGACAGCTGGGCGGGCATCAGGGACTGGCTCTTCCCCGGCTCCTGGTGGCTCCTCTGTCCCTGCCGCCTGCATTAATGCAGCTTCTGTCACACTGTGGGCCGCGGTGACCCTGAGGGGCGCTCTGAGACGCTGTGCCAGGGGACCTTGCTGCCCATGGGTAGGGCAGGGGGCAGCTTGCTCATTGGGAGGGAAGCGTCCTGCGGGGAGACCCGTCACCTCCATCTTGGTTTTCAGAGACCCCAGCAGGGAGGGCGGGGGGAACCCACTGCCCTGGGTGAGGTCTGTTTGCCCTTCTTTGGAATAGCGTGGTGGGTTTTTACATTTTTATTTTTACATGCATGTTTATAGTACTTAGTGATCATGCTCCTAGTGCGAGCTGGTGCACGGACAGAACGCATCTTAATTCTGTCCACTTTCTCTCCCTCCCCCTGCTCCGGCTCTCGGCCCCTCTCCATTTGTAGAATATCTGTTGCCCTGTCTCCTGTGAACTCTCCTTTATTTTGCTCTTGGATTTATTTATAGTTTCGGTTTCTCAGATAAGAACAACCATTCAGTATTGAAGCTTGTGTGTCTGATTCATTTCACTTAACATTATGGTCTCAAGGTGAATCCATTTCCTACAAATGATTCAAGCTTATCCTTCTTTACGGCAGAGTAGTACTCCGTTGTGTATAAATACATTTTCTTTATCTATTCATGTGTTGGCGGACATACAGGCTGCTTCTAAGATTTAGCTTTATTTGTTTGGTTAAGTATTTTTCCCCTGGGGGTCCTTGACTGTTTTCTTCCTGCTTGTAGGTGAAGTTCTGGGTGGAGCTTGGGTCTGAACGAGCACGGTCAATGGGCCTTGTGTCTGTGGCTGCCCCGTCTTCACAGCCTCTCTCCTGGGCCAGCTCCAGAGCAACGGTGTCAGGCTGGCTGCGGGTGAGGGGAGATTCCCACCTCTCTGTCACTTGCTCTGGCTCTCAGACACAAAGCGGGTGGCAGGACCCCGCTCCTGAGAACAGGGGGAAGGTGCTTGGCCCTGGGGCGAGGGTCAAGTGCCCTCTCCCAGCTCTCACAGCCTGCAGGCCTCTCGTGTCAGATGAAACCTCCACCCCAGGTGTGCTGAGCGGCTGCCAGCTCCGCACAAACCCGGCCCAGCCTCCCTCCTCGCCGCCCACCACTCCCCCACTCTTGCCGTCCGGCGGGTCTGCCTCGCTGCGGCCGCTCCTTTCCGGCTCCCTGGCCGTGCTGCCCTTCACCCACCGGCCTGCCCCGCGCCCCTGCCCTCGTCACGACCGCCTGCGTGGCTCACACGCTCAGCCTGCGTCTGTGCGCGTCCCGGGCTGGCGCTGAGCGGCTTCACTCGGCCGCCCCCGTCGCCCCCGCTGCGCTTCCTCCCTGCGGCTTCTGCCTGGGCCCCGGGCGTGGCCACCAACCAGTTCCTGGGCGTCGCGCGGGCAGGATCTTGGCTTTCTGATTCCTTCCGGATGGACGCCTCTGCACTGTGCCCAGGGCTCGGGCTGGCGTGGGCAGCACCCTGGATTCTCCTCGTCCCTGGACGCCTGTCTGAACCCGCAGCAAGGCCTGGTGGTTGACGACGCCCCCGTGAGCCGACGCCCTGCATCCCCGCCTCGGCCCCTCCTGTCCTGCTAGGCAAGGCCGCGGGCAGAGCGTGGAAGTCAGCCGGGCCTCCCGCCCGCCCGGGGTCTCAGCCCCTCGAGGCTGGCTGCCTGCAGCTTCCCTCCCCTCCTCTGAGGTGTTCTCCCGTGTACGCAGGAACTCTGTGGGAGCCAGGGCTCTGCCGCCTACGCAGGACACAGGTGGCGCCTGTAAACACCTGTGGGCGGGGGCGGGGCTGGGCCGGCGTCCTCGCCGTGGGAGCAGGAGCCGCCGTGCCCCGGGCCCTGCACGCACTACGCACGCACTAGCTGCTGCCCCAGCACAGAGCGGCACTCGCTTCCTCCTTCCTCGGGGGTTTCCGGGGCCCCTCCAAAGCTGTCTGTCCATCCGAGCCGCCACCTCTGGCTTCGGGAATTAACCTGCATCGGGCAAGCCCATTATCAAGAGTAGCTTTTAAGTTGAAAGAGCCCTGTAGGCCTCTGAAGCCTAGTAAAGCCCTTTCATGTCTCATGAAAAAGACCCACACCTCGGGGAGCGCTGGCCCCGCAGAGCCTGGCTTCGCTCGTCGCTGCCCCCGTCCTGCAGGTGGCTTTGTGGGGCGTCGGGGACTTCAGGGCACCCACCCTGCTCTTCCTGCTCAGGCTCTTCCGGGTCTTTTGCGCTTCAGTGGGAGTTTAGGGCTGTCTTCCAAGCTCTGGGAGGAGCGGAATTGCTATTTTGGCGGGGCTGCGTGGAACCTGTAGATCGCACTCGGCTACACGCCGCTTAACAACCTTGCCTCCGCCCGGGCAGGAGCGCGGCAGGCCCCCCACCCCGGGGACCCCGTCGCGTCCTTCTCCAGCGTTCCATCTTCCTCGCTGTGGAGACCTCACACTCAGGGCCGGTCCAGGGTACTTCAGCGTCTCCTCCTAGAGGCTGAGTCTGGCCGTGGTGTGGAGAAGCCTTGTCCTCTCTGACCCTGCGCTGGCCGAGGGCTGGGCGTGATGGCCCGGCCCGCGCACAGCGAGGTGGACCTGGCGGTGGAGGTCGGCACCGGTGGCTTTAGGAACGGGCGGTCCAGGGTGCGGACACGTCCCATGTTTCCGCCCAAGCGACACTTCGGCTCACGCAGGGCCGTAGTGATACCGTGGATAGAGGGGCAGGGGTGACGCGGAGATGGCCACAGTGCCAGCCGTGAGCCGTGTGGCGTCCTCCAGGGCGCGGTGACACGCCCAAGCTCCCATCCCTGCCCACTGTCGGGAGCAAGGGTGGCCGTGCCCCTCACGACACCACAAAGAAGTGAGAAAGACGCCCAATCCCTGCATGGGACGGTGGCAGAGGAAAGGGAATCCTGGGAACAGCCCTGTGGGTCTCTCCCTCCCCTACTTTTTCCCCGCCCGGATGTTTCCCTACATTCCCAGCAGCACCCCTGGCTTGCTATCCTTCTCCCTGACACTGGCCGGAAGAAGAATAGCTACTAGAGTTAGCTACGACTGCTGGCTAAGGGGAACTCCAGCTAAAACCAGCACAGGATGGAAGACTGTGTCAGTCAGGAAACCTGTAGTGCTCTTCTGGGACCAGGGAACTAGGCCCCGTTGAGCTCAATGTTTTGTTTGCCATGTTGGGCTTCTCAAGGTTACTTCATAGTCCAAAACGGCTGCCAGAGCACCAGCCATTCATTCTTAGTCTAGCCAGCAAGGATGAAGGAAGAACAAGAAACTGTGTGTGACCCTTCTCTTAGGAACATGGCCTGGAAGATACATAGGCCAATTCCACATTTATTCTGTGTGGCATGGCTACAATATTCTGCTTGAGAAGCTCAAAAATAGAATCTGGGTTCTCGACAACCCATGGTGAACTAAGCATCCAGTCCTTCCTCACTAAGAGGACGGGGGAAGGGACGTTAGGACTGTGGATTCTGCCTCTAAGAGCCTGGAGGAGTGATATCGTGGAATGGTTAAAGGTGACAAATTCTGCTGTTGCTCTGCATTCTTCTTGGAGGCAGGCACGGTAGCAATAAAAAGCGCGTGATGAACTTTGACCCTGGTGCCAACTCAGGTGCTGGGAAAAGGCCCCGGCCCAGGAGGAGGATAGTGCCCCGACTCCAGCTGGAGTCTTGAGCCACAGCTGTCTGCAGCGCTCTGGCGACGTTAGGGTGGATGTGAGGCAGTTCCCGACGCTCGGTGCTGCTGTCCCCCAGTAATGCACCGGCAGTGGCCTCCTGTGCGGGGCTGGCTGCCCAGGACCTCAAATCTCAGCTCATGGGCGTGAGCCCCAGGGTGTGACCATCCCGGCCTTGTTGTCCTCCACATTGCTTTGGCTCCTCGTGGGGCCCGGGTGTGGACAACTACGGGAGCAAGCGACCGTATCAGAAGTGCCTGGAAGCTCGCTAAAAACAGAGGTGGGGCCCAGAGCCCCCGTGTGCCACGGACGAGGGGACCCAGGGTGAGGGACGGCAGGGACTCACACCCAGGGCTCCGCTTGAGCAGCCCTGCCTGGAGACGCAGCCTCCTAGCCGGGGAGGCGCTGATGCCCGCTACGGCCCGTGTGGGCCGCTGTGGGAATCCCACGGTGACTGCCAGGCGGGCCCAGGTACGGGCCCTGTAAGGGTGTGGGGGGAATCACGGTGATAAGGGTGTTGATGACCTCACTGTGGTCATCACAGGGTGTACGCAGGGACCCACACTTCTCGCTGTTCCCAAAATATGCCCAAGAGGAGCGGGTGAACGGCACGGTGTGTCTACATTTAAAAATGTATTATCGTCAAAGACACAGGTCCGAGGATCCCCAGATCCTCCGCGTGCTTCAAGCGCCCTTGCCCGGCCCTTCTTTGGCGCTCTCTGCAGCAGCTCGGAACTCCTCTCACCTACGTGTCATTAGTCGGGTCATGGCGGCTGCCATGGGCATTTTAGATTTGGAGAAGAGGCAGCAGGCCGGCGGTGCAGGCCCGGTGAGTGACGCGTGTGAGGGCCAGCGTCATGCTCTTACGGCCTCACTTCCTGTTGGGTGACGCTTGGCAGCAGCTGTCACTGTATTTTTGATCACACTCTGTAAAGACACGCAGGAAAGAGGACTCCAGAGCTGCTGTGGAAAGTGGCAGTAACAGTGGGATAAGCATGTCTGAAGCAAGGTGGAGGGGCGTAACGGGGGGCGCTCATGGCAATGCGTCCTTTTCTGTAGTGGATTTTTTTATTTAAACACACACGTTATTTTTTCATCAACTCTTTTTTTTTTCTGGTACCAGGAATCGAACTCATGACCTTGCACTTGCCAGGCAGGCGCTGTGCCGCTGAGCTAAATCCCCAGCCCTCATCAACTCTTATATGTGCCAATCACAGTCTTTGTGAAAAGGCTCTTCAGGTGAGAACTTGTTCTCTGTGGTCATCACCTGGGTGTGTTTCCCTGTGGACAAGGAGCTGGCTGGGCACCAGAGTGCAAGGTGGTGCCCCTGTCCTGCGTGTCTCCTACAGGAAGGCCGGGGCTGCTCCTGAGCCAGATCGTGACAGGCAGAGGGGTCACCCAGCTCACGGACACCTGCCTGCCAGGCCGGGCCTTTCCTGGCCTCATTAACGAGGTGGGCATGTCCTATAATTACCCCATTTACACCCTGGGTCTGCCTGACACAGCTGCCACTGTTCGTGAACTCGGCTTGGGGCAGCGTCTGCGGGCGGGGAACCTGCTCTGCCAGCCGGCCCAGTTGGGTCCCTGCTGCAGCTCGTGGTGGCTGGGTCACATGGACACACGTGCGCATTATCAGCAGGTGGTGCAGGCCCTGGATGCTAAGCGGCGGTGACCGTGGCCCGCCCAGGGCAGGCCGGACGCTGCTTGGAGGAAGTGAACTGTTTTTCTTTTTCATTTGGGGAAATGGCAGGAAGCACTTGGTGGGCAGTTCTGACAGCCTCGGAACAGAGAACAGGGTTGAAGGGCCGTTGGGTCCTCCTTCCTGGACCCCACGTGCGTGCCTGGCTCTTCACTGAGACGCTGGGCAATCCGCACATGCTGATCTGAGGGAGGCTTTGTCACTCTTGGTAATGCAGGATCTGACGGCCCGTGTGTGTTTAAGTTCTTTAGAACCTATTTTAGCAGCTGAACTGAAATGAACATTGCTTGGAGCTGTAGGAGGCAGTGGGCACATGGTGGTGGGCAGGAGCTAGGGGCAGGGAGCCGAGTTCAAGTCCTGCTTCCGCACTCACGGCCCCGTCACCGCTCTTCACCTGCCAGGTGGGAGGAGCCTGGACCTCAAAGCAGGCGTTGCGGGCAGAGCCTGCCAGGGTGCCTTACTAGATGGCACAAGCCCACCAGGAGGTCAACCCAGCTGCCAGTACAGCCACGGCACTGTCGTGCTGGCTTGCTAGAAAGCTGGCATGAAACAAAGAAGTCTCCAGCAGAAAGAACCTGGTGACACAGCACCCTAAGTCGGTGAGACTGATGAGGACGGGAAACAACAGGACAGGTGCACCCCGTCCTCCCCGCCCCCCTTCACTCGGCCTGGGGAGGCACAAGGGGTGGCGGGATGGTCCCTTTGGTGACGTAACAAACCATCTCGGCCCGGGAGGCTTAAAACAGCGCTCATCGACCGCCTGAGCGTTCTGTGTTTCGTGAGTCCGACATGTTCCAAGGTGTCTGTGGGCCTGGGATCTGGGCACACCTGTGTTCCCCACTCCGAGGCCACCCACTGCTCCAGGGGCGGCCCCTTCCACCCTCAGCCAGCTCCGTCTCTGACCGTCGTCCGCCTCCTCCTTCCAGGGCCTGCGTCCCACCACTTGGATCCCCCAGGATGAGCTCGTTCTCCAGGTCACTGGTCAGCAACCACAGCTCCGTCTGCACCCCGTGCCTGGGCCGTGGAACCCAACGTACACACGCATCCGGGGATCAGGGTGGGGTGGTCTTCGGGCCCAGGGGGAGCAACTTTCCCTGAGGCCACTTGAGTCTTTCTGGTCCCGTCCCTTCCAAAAGGGCATCTCCAAGCCTGCGTCCCAGAACTTGGACTGAAGTCAGTGAAGAGCCAGTTAGGAGACAGCGGTGTCTGCTGCCCCGCGGTCGTGGGGTAACACAGCCTCCTGTGGCTCTTCTGATAGGGTTGGGTGGACTGGCTGCTCTGGGAGCCGGGGAGGCGGGATCCCTATCCACAGGTGGCCCCTGCGTGGCATTGCTGCCACACCCCGGCCCCGCCCCCTCCCCGTAGACAAGGCGTCCCAAACCCTCCTCCCTGGGGGCTCGGCAGCATCTCCAGGTCAGGAGGGCTTCCCAGGACACTGCGTGGTGACTACTTAGTGTGACCTTGGGTACCTGCCGGGGCTCCGCAGCCTCTGCAGCGAAGCGATCAGACACGGAGAGCTATTTTGATTTTTCCCAAGGCCCAAGAAGGGCAGAGCCACCCTGGAGTCCCCTAACCTGGAACTGAGCCCCCAGCACAAGACCAGGCCTCAGGGCCAGCACCGGGACAGCGGCAGGCCCCCGGGACAGGGGCCGCTCTCCTTTCCCTGTCCGCTCAGGGCTCAGGGGCCAAGGGCAAGTGTCATGTAAGCAGGAGTGTGTTGGGAGGGCCCCATCCGGGCTCCCTGCAGCAGAGGGCAAGGAGCCCCGGGACACGGCTGCCAACCGAGGCAGCGGTCTGACACGGAAGCACAAATCTCCGCCCTCCCAGCACCCAGCTTCTCACAGCCAGGATTCACAGCTTCTTTCCATCACTTCTTGCCAGGCCACTGTCCCTGCCCCCACAGGCCCCCCCCCCCCCGCAGCCTGGGGAGTGGGCTGGGAGTTAATGAACCCCCCCGTTGTGGCCGGGGTTCCTTGCTTGTCCAAACTTGCATCAGGCTCTGAACCTCCTCCCGGCCCACCTGTGCCCTTCTGAGGGACGTCCAGGCTTGGCACCGAGCCTGCTAAGTCTGTGCAGCCGCACCCCGAGCCTGATCACCCCCACACCCCACAGAGGGCCTCCTCCTGCACCATCCCCAGGGACGTCGGGCTGCCTGCTGGGACGGTTTGTCCCTAACCCCCGCCCCATGTTCCCACTCGGTTGTCTCCGTCCCCGACCCGGCTGCAGACCCCTGCTGCCCACACTGAGCTGAGGCTGGGCCCCGCCTCTCCCTGCTGCAAGGCCCCGCCGTGCGGCCCATGTCCCCGTCACTGGGGTCCGAAGCCGTCTTCTGACTGTGCTTTAGCAAGCACTGCTGGACCGCTGCTCCCCAACAGCTGGCGTCTCCTCGGCATCCCTGAGACCTTGGCCCCCCGTAGTTCTGATCCAGCCTCCCCTGCCCTGCTGTCCCCTCCTAGATGGCACCAGCCGCGAGGAGAACACACACAGGAGCACAAGCGACACTTCGCGGTATTAAATACTGACTCCTTTTCATGAATGACGAGGCTCTCGCGTGTGGTTGTAGCAACAGCAAGCCCCGGCCCGGAGTATCTTGCGCTTTGAAGTGGATCACTGTAGTGGATTGATAACTGGTGGTCAACTT